AAACGTAATTTACTCTATAGCGCGGAATGCCACGGAATTCGTTAATTTTTGACGAATAAATCAAAAGTAGCCACTGCCACTTAATTCGAATCACGATATGAACTAGTGTCTGTGAATATTAAAATGCAAAAAGACGGTTTAAATATGAATCCTGCATGTTCCGCTTGCCTCTGTATGTATGAATGGCGGAAACGCGGTTTTGTTTTCTACACAAATACTGAAGCACGCGTGACTCTTGCAGTGATTTCCGGCCTCTGGAAAACTTAATCTCCAGAGCTCCTGTGAGAGTCACTTCGCGAGAATTTTACCGTTTCATTTGAGAAAACTAGCATCATCATACTGTATACACACAGAAACTTCATGGCAACCTGTCAAAATAAAAGTACGGTTTAACATGTAACAGAAATATATTACACTTGTATTACTTTTGTACAGTATAATGTACATCTTTAAATCCATTTTTAAATTGTTCCATTTTCTATCAAATTTACATAAAAATTAAATGATAAATGCATATTACAACCAGATTAATCCCTTGTAGAAAAAAATTATACAATTTCCTATTAAATAAGCCTATTAAAAAATGTTTTAAAGGAATATTCACACAATTTTTCTTCCATGTATTAATTTCAACAGTATATTCAACAGAAACATATGTTGACTCAGTTTGTTTGCCAAAAAATAAAAGGGTTTAATTTTCATTTGATTTAAAATAAATGTTTAATGCCTTCACTTGATTTTCAGAAAAATTAAAACAAGAATTTCTGGGGGGAAAAAAAGAAAAGAAAGAAAGAAAACGTTTGTAGGGCCCTTTTGTTCAAAATGTTGAAATTGAGACTTTTGTACTTCACTGAAATAAATGTTTTTGTAATTACACAGAGAGTAAAGTATCGAAAAAAGGTACCGTTGGGTACCGGCACAGAAATTCAGGTACCGATACCGGTACCGTACTGGTTAAAATGTGAATGGTACTTAACCCTAGAACCAATATACTGTTACACATCTATTTTCTTTCTCAATTTTTTCCCTTCACCTAAGCCATAAGCAACTGCGTTTACAAGGATACTTGCAGAGCACAGTATTTATAAAAGGGTTTAATTTTCATTTGATTTAAATTAAATGTTTATTGCCACAGAGAGTAAAGTACCGAAAAAAGGTACCGTTGGGTACCGGCACAGAAATTCAGGTACCGATACCGGTACCGTACTGGTTAAAATGTGAATGGTACTTAACCCTAGAACCAATATACTGTTACACATCTATTTTCTTTCTCAATTTTTTCCCTTCACCTAAGCCATAAGCAACTGCGTTTACAAGGATACTTGCAGAGCACAGTATTTCAGGCACAAATAGACGCAGAAGTGAACAGAATTCAGTGTTCACGTGCATCTGGGTAGCTCACAGTGTCTACACCGGACGCGAACAGCGCGACGCGACAAAATACAATAGAAGCCATTATAATCAGTGATGCTGTCTACACTGAATGCGGCGCGACACGACAAATCACCGACAGTAAACTGATGCCGCGTTCTCTTTATGACGTACTGACACAAAGTTAAAATGATTTGCAAAGGTCGCTTTGTCCAGTCCAGTGTAGACAGACTTTGGGGCCGTTCACATGTCGCGCCTAAAAACGCGTGGAAAACGCCAGCCGTGCCGCTTTCTCCTACTTTCCAAACCGCTCGGGAGCTTGCGCTTTCGTGGCGTCTGCTGTTGCTAAGCGACCGTGACCTGCGCTCTCCGCGACGATGCGGGAGTTTCAACAAAGGATAAATGGATTTCCAGCACTGAAAATCATGTGCAGTAGCTCTGCTACTACATTTATTTAAAATGGGTATCTCTGTACAGCTGTCACGTCTGGTGTAGACACCGTGTCTGTGTGTGAGAAAAGAAAACAATCAGTATAAATATAACAATCAGTATACTAAACATCGCACATCCTGCGATGTGACTATCGTGGATGCGCACATCGCGATATCGATGCTGAAAATATATATCGTGCAGCCCTACTGTACATGCACTTACAATGTACAATGTAGTGTTAATCAAGTAATGTAAGGAAACTACATGCACTTAACATAGGTTAAGTTAAGGTTTATGGTTAGAACCTAGTTATTACCCAGTTATTACTATAATATGTGCATAGCATATGCATGCATAACAGGACTGTAAAATAAAGTGCTACTGAAATTTGATTTGAATGTGATGAAATAATACTGTGTAGCTCAAAATAATGGCAAGAAAACAAGCCTTTCTGTTGAGTTTCTCAGATTAACAAGGAAAATATGGATTGCATCTGGTTAAGACACTATAACTCTCACACTTTCCTTTTATTCAATTTGTGTACTATGTAAAGAAGGTTATGTATACTATTTAAAGAAGGTCAATGTTATTACTCACGTTTTATATTTGCTCTTGTGTGTTAAGTCAAGTTCATGTGCTGCATATTCATCGCTTACCGTTTCATTTTCAGACTACATTTTCAAGTCAGATAATCCCTTTTGTATGTCTCTCCTCTAGGGCAAAATGTGGGTGACTGGGAAGTTGACATCAATACGTTGAGGCTACTGTTCTCCTTCTCCCCACACCCTGGCAGTCTGAGGAATCAGACGTTACTGTGACAAACCTGGGCCGCTGGCACTAAAATGTCCCTAAGTGGTGGCACTGCAGGCGGGAAAGGTGTGGACTCGAATGCGGTGGACACTTACGACAGCGGTGATGAGTGGGATATCGGGGTTGGAAATCTGATTATCGACCTTGACGCTGACCTAGAGAAGGACAAACTTGAGATGTCTGGCACCAAGGACGGAGGAGGAATGGCAGCTCCACCTAGCGCAGTAGCGGCTCTGCCAGACAATATCAAGTTTGTGAGCCCGGTGAGCGCCCCTCAGGGCAAAGAGAGCAAATCGAAATCGAAACGCAACAAAAATTCTAAAGACAATAGCAGCAAGACTCCATCTGCAGATGGAGCAAAAAAGGACCATCAGGGACGGACCCAAGGGGAGGTTACTGGTGCGACAGGTAGTTCAGGAGGCGGCACCTCTGCTCCTGGCAAAGGCGTCGAGAAGGGCGCCAAGGCCTCACGCAGCGTGCCCAACAGCAAAAAGGAGAAGGAAGTATCAAGCGGGAAAAACAAGAAAGAAAAAAGCGAAAGCGGACCAGTTGCAGTCGTGGCAATTGAGAAGGAGATAGTAGCAAACGCTCAGGCGTTTGGAAGCACACGCAACACGCCCTTTGATAGTACGCAAAATGCAGACATGGCTGTGACAGAGCAGCTTGGGAATAACGCTCTGGAAACTGTTGGAATTGTCTCTCCGTTAGCTATTAAATCAGAGCCAGAGGAGCTTGACGGGGAATGCAGAGCTTTGAAGAAGGTGAAAAATGAAAAGGTAAGCGCGGACAGCCATTAAAGCAATGGCAGATCTGAGAAACGAAGCCTTTTCCCTCAGCTTTGTACATGGCGACTGCTAGTATGTCTGGATGGGTGTTAAAGCCAGCAGCAAGGGTGGGGGAAGGGAGCGCGGTGAGCTCGCACTGCTAATTCAGCTCATGAAAGGCTTGAGCAGTGAGAGCAGCTGTCCTCCATTGTCAGCCAGCAAATTTTCAGCATGCCTCATTTCACCTCTCAATGTGAGCAGAGAGAAAGCTAGAGGGCAGAACAGAGGGGGATAAACAAACAGAAACCGATAAATGAGGGAAGGAATGAATAAATGAGAGAAAACTGTTGAATGCCTCAAGTTGCCGCAGTGCTTCCAAACGGAGGTGGGGAGAGATCATGTGTTAAATGCCAGCGGTGAAGTCTGCTTGTAGCTTTCTGAGAGGTTGGTAGGTGCTCTGCTCGAATCTGCTGAGAAAAAAGGCCACTCGAGGGCCAGAGGAAGGAGAAGGGGGAGCAAATGACCTGGCTAAATGAAAGGGGGGGGTTGCATTGTAAGTGGATGAAGTCTTTAACTTCCTACACACTAAGGAGCTTGTCAGCGCTCCCACAGTTCCACTGAGGCGAAAGAGGACTGCTGAAGAAATCATGGCTGCTGCACAGTTCACATGCTTGCACTACTTAAAGTATAAAGTATTAATTGGGACACAAGACCACCATATTAAGTGATACTATAACAATTGAAATTTCAAAATTCCAAAGAATGAGCCATTAATTGTTGGTTCCAAATTTTAGATGAACCACACTTTCAAAAGAAATGTTCTGGCCAATGCCAATAAGCTGCTAGTTATCTTCGTTTTATTGTAAAATAGTATTTAAATAAATACTATTTTGTTAAAAAAAGAAAAAAAATTTTTTCTCAATGTTATGGTGCTTGTAGAAAATGTAAAGGGTTGTCATAATTTACTCATCCTCATGTCATTACAATCTCATAAGACTTACAGTGGGTACGGAAAGTATTCAGACCCCCTTCAATTTTTAACTCTTTGTTATATTGCAGCCATTTGCTAAAATCATTTATTAATCAAGTAATGTAAGGAAACTACATGCACTTAACATAGGTTAAGTTAAGGTTTATGGTTAGAACCTAGTTATTACCCAGTTATTACTATAATATGTGCATAGCATATGCATGCATAACAGGACTGTAAAATAAAGTGCTACTGAAATTTGATTTGAATGTGATGAAATAATACTGTGTAGCTCAAAATAATGGCAAGAAAACAAGCCTTTCTGTTGAGTTTCTCAGATTAACAAGGAAAATATGGATTGCATCTGGTTAAGACACTATAACTCTCACACTTTCCTTTTATTCAATTTGTGTACTATGTAAAGAAGGTTATGTATACTATTTAAAGAAGGTCAATGTTATTACTCACGTTTTATATTTGCTCTTGTGTGTTAAGTCAAGTTCATGTGCTGCATATTCATCGCTTACCGTTTCATTTTCAGACTACATTTTCAAGTCAGATAATCCCTTTTGTATGTCTCTCCTCTAGGGCAAAATGTGGGTGACTGGGAAGTTGACATCAATACGTTGAGGCTACTGTTCTCCTTCTCCCCACACCCTGGCAGTCTGAGGAATCAGACGTTACTGTGACAAACCTGGGCCGCTGGCACTAAAATGTCCCTAAGTGGTGGCACTGCAGGCGGGAAAGGTGTGGACTCTAATGCGGTGGACACTTACGACAGCGGTGATGAGTGGGATATCGGGGTTGGAAATCTGATTATCGACCTTGACGCTGACCTAGAGAAGGACAAACTTGAGATGTCTGGCACCAAGGACGGAGGAGGAATGGCAGCTCCACCTAGCGCAGTAGCGGCTCTGCCAGACAATATCAAGTTTGTGAGCCCGGTGAGCGCCCCTCAGGGCAAAGAGAGCAAATCGAAATCGAAACGCAACAAAAATTCTAAAGACAATAGCAGCAAGACTCCATCTGCAGATGGAGCAAAAAAGGACCATCAGGGACGGACCCAAGGGGAGGTTACTGGTGCGACAGGTAGTTCAGGAGGCGGCACCTCTGCTCCTGGCAAAGGCGTCGAGAAGGGCGCCAAGGCCTCACGCAGCGTGCCCAACAGCAAAAAGGAGAAGGAAGTATCAAGCGGGAAAAACAAGAAAGAAAAAAGCGAAAGCGGACCAGTTGCAGTCGTGGCAATTGAGAAGGAGATAGTAGCAAACGCTCAGGCGTTTGGAAGCACACGCAACACGCCCTTTGATAGTACGCAAAATGCAGACATGGCTGTGACAGAGCAGCTTGGGAATAACGCTCTGGAAACTGTTGGAATTGTCTCTCCGTTAGCTATTAAATCAGAGCCAGAGGAGCTTGACGGGGAATGCAGAGCTTTGAAGAAGGTGAAAAATGAAAAGGTAAGCGCGGAAGGCCCGCTTGTGAATTTGAACCGTTTAGCAGCTAATGGAAATTGTGTTATTGAAGTATTGATAACGGGTGTCAATATTAGCGACCTAGTCGCCTGAATGCAAGTAAGTTGTTTCCTCTGCGGTCATGTTTTCTTTGCATCGCATGTGCTTTTTGATTGACATTTTGCCACTTTTATGGATCAGATAGTAAAGAGAGGACTGGAAATTATATGCAGAAGAGGAGGGAACAAACTGAGTAAATGTTGTGAGCCAGATTCAAAATTGCATTACGTAAATAAGCATTACGTAACTAGGTTGTGGCTCTGGCATTTAAAAAAATATATATTTTTGAAGGATTAGATAAATTATCATAGTTTGTGTAAAAAAAAAGCAGTATTTAAGCAATATTTGCAGCATTATGCTAACACTATTACATTACAAAATTGTTGGCTTGGTTTTCATTTTCTTCCTGTCGTTCCAATCTATGAATAGAGAGGAAGTTTAGGCCTGGTTTGACTGTCCATGTCGCTTAATCCCAGGAGCCAAAGATGTGGTTGAGGGGGTAGGGAAAGAGCTCAGACCCTCCTAACCCCACTGGCCTAAACTTGCAGTGGGGGAAGGGCTGGAAGAAGGTCATTTAACTGCTTGTATACAAGCTTTTAATCAGAACAGAACAGCTTCTGTGCTTCTGAAGATCATTAAAATTGGGAAGGAAATTCCAATTAAAGCTTCAAATCCAGTTTCAGCTCTTGAGAAGCTAAGTGATGCCAGTGTTTGTTTGTCACGTTTACATTGGCCTTTTATCTGTATGAAACTTAATGATGTAACTTTTTGCAAGTACATACTGTTCAACTAAAAGAACAGCTGCGGATTGTCAAATTCATTTCAGGATTATGTTTGCTACTGTTGTGCTTTGTTACGTACATTGGCCAACATTGAAATTTCAGTCACGGTAAAGAGCCTACCCTGTGACTTTTGGAAATTGTTTAAAAGCCTATTTTAGGGTCACTCCCTAAGGTTTTTTGTCTTTTTAATGTGATGCTGTGACAAGATAAATCTGTGGTTGATTAGGTTCCTGTAGGCCACTTTTAAGGAAAGACATTCAACATTCAATATCTTGTACGTTCAGTATATTTTATAAACTGTTGACTGATTAATAGATTTTCTGATGTTTTCCCCACCTCCATTTTTAGTATCTGCAAAATCCAATAGGTCAACCTCTGTTTTTTTTAGTTTTGGTAATAGAGTTGGGTGGTGCAAAAACATATTCAATTTGGTGTTTTTTTTTATAGCGTTTAAAATGTTGAGTTTTCTTTTGGCTCATGATGCAGCACGCAAAGGGTAATTGATTAAAGAATACAAGGGGGCAAAATATCAGCCATTAAAGCAATGGCAGATCTGAGAAACGAAGCCTTTTCCCTCAGCTTTGTACATGGCGACTGCTAGTATGTCTGGATGGGTGTTAAAGCCAGCAGCAAGGGTGGGGGAAGGGAGCGCGGTGAGCTCGCACTGCTAATTCAGCTCATGAAAGGCTTGAGCAGTGAGAGCAGCTGTCCTCCATTGTCAGCCAGCAAATTTTCAGCATGCCTCATTTCACCTCTCAATGTGAGCAGAGAGAAAGCTAGAGGGCAGAACAGAGGGGGATAAACAAACAGAAACCGATAAATGAGGGAAGGAATGAATAAATGAGAGAAAACTGTTGAATGCCTCAAGTTGCCGCAGTGCTTCATTGAAGGGGGTCTGAATACTTTCCGTACCCACTGTACATTCATCTTCAAAATATAAATTAAGATATTTTTAATGAAACCTGAGAGGTGTTTGTTCCTCCATTGAAATTCCATGTAAGCAAAACTCCATATGAATCAAATGGTATAATCCAAGTCACCTGAAGAGATCATTTACTTTACCGTGTACATATTTAATTAGCCTTTTATTCACATAAGAACAGTTGATCAACAAACATGCATAGAGCACATCAAATATAGTAAATGGAAACTCAAACTTGCATGCTGGATTTTTTAAGTTTTTGTTACATGCGCTTTCAATGGCAGGGCATTTGTGTTTTAAAGATAAACTCAATTCTTTTGGATTTTTAACAGAAATGTGTAACAATTTTTGAGTGAACTAACCTTTTAAAGATTACAACATTTATAATGTACAGTTTAATATATGTATAGCTATTCATTTTGAGATTAGCTTAAAAAAAATTGCAGGAAAGAAGAAATAATAAGTATTATAGAAAAAAACTGAAATCTTTGCTTTGTTTTCTAGCACCATGTCTTGTAGTACTAGAGTTAAAGGTAGATGACTACAGGAGCAATTGAACATTTAAAAAATTAGTAGAAACAAGCATACACATTTAATTGTCCACTATTCAATACCAATACTGATAAGTCAATACAAAATCACTAATATTGCTTGATAATCAATATGGTTCCATTATATTGTGCATCTTTAGTAAAACTGTTGCAGCTTCAGCCTCGGATTTGCCACAGTTAAAAGAGTTGAAAAAGAAATGCTGCATAGTCCTGTCTGGTTTCGTGAACAATCCTAGCCTGAAGCACACTTTGAGAAATCCACTGCAAGCAGTTCATCATCCCAGAATCGTTTGGCATGCATTATGCATTATGTTTGAGATGCACTAATCCTACTCTGGCTGACTGCTTAGGATGCATATTATGAATCGTGATGTGTTCATTTAGGGTATGTGGTCTGATCGTTTGAACAGCTCTCACGGTACAGAATGAGGGTGGTAACTTGCAGTGATTGGCTGTCATTTTTGTAGAAAACTTTATGTAATGCATAGCATGTGCAGCACATTGTTTTGCCGAAATGAAAATTTATTTAGCCTCCTCCTTTAGCAAAAACAGCTGTTGTATAAAGTAACCTAGTGTTGTGGGGGTGGGCATTGGACCATCATGAATCTCTTTGTAATGGCAGTTCTTTCATTTTGACAAGCACAATACTTTAAGCCCTTGGGCTGCTATGAAAAGTGGAACATTATTGTTTGATCAAGAAAATCACAAGATCTAATTCTTACATCTTTCTTGTACCGCAGAATGTGTAAAGAGCTGCCATTCAATGTTGCTTAGTCTTGTGGTGTGTTTAACATCTTTGTGCTCTGGCATTGTGTGTCGAGTTACTCTTGCTCTAATGAGGTTAGTGTCACTGAAAAGATCCTTTTAAGAAGATTAGAGGGTATTGTTGAAGATTTCAGCGACAGAATGATTTAGCATTGCTTTGTGGAGGAGACAATCCAGGCTGTGTCTAGTGCTGCTTTAGTTTGCAGTTTACACATCTATGCATATTGGCGTTAAATGTTGCATAAAAGTAATTCTGGCACTAGTAATTATGATGGTGTGATTGAATCTGAAATGTTAAGTTTGTTCCTTTAACTCTTCTTACTGGGTCAGTGACTTGACTATTTTTTGTCTTCTCTTGGTTTATTCAAAAATACATTGAAAATGCAATTTTACATGAATTGAATTGTTTTTAATTTCTGAATTGAAATTCATTTAGATAGTTTTTGTGAGAAATTTCAATTTCAGCATGACACAAATGTCTTGAGTTCATAATTATATTGACTTAATTGTATTTTAAAAACGTTTTTTCCAATAAATCACATGTGATCATGTGGTGCAACCAACATGCTTAATAAACCTACAGAAAAAAACCCTAGTATACCCATGATTGTGTCGAGGCCAATAAGTCATTCAAAATAATTTGACATGGTTAGTTCAGATTGTTAAATGTCATGTGGTGCGACTCCCCAAAAAAAGAAGCAAGATTTATGAATGAATAATAATTTACCTTGACCAAAAATACTTAAAACCTTAAAAAAAAAAAAGAGAGATTAAGACATGTACACTTTTATGTATTCAAGGTTAGAGTTGATAAATATACCTTTTTTTTTCTTTATCATGGATTCTCTTATGTCATTGGCCCTTCTACAAACTGCACATCAGCCAACTAAATTATAGACCGGTATCAAAAATGTTGGCCAATTCTGACGTCTGGGCACTTCATTTAATTTTTTTCTACTTCAAATATTTGCTAGCTGTTTGTTTGTTTGAAATAGACACTTTTTTTTCTCTTTGCTGAATTGTGTGCTGAATTTTGCACTTTTGTTAAAATATTCATGTTTTCCTTGTCTCACATCCATCTTCCGGTTTTAATTTTTTTCCCCACTATTTCACAC